AGACCTGTATTGGTCCATTGTGCTTCCCTCTATGATTTTTACCAGTCTCTATATCCTACCGGTACTGGTGCTTACCATCAGTCCCGCCCAGCCAGCGAGACCGGCTCTACTACCTGAGAGGTATCTATAATGCTTCCCCCATCTACCAGAGGTATTAGATAGAGACTGCTGTTGGGCGGGAAACACCCGTAATTTTGGCTCAGTGACCTCCTTTGGAGATATGAGGTTCTTTTACATGCTGTAAAGCTACGACACGGGACCCACAGCTTAAAGTCCCTCCCGGAGGACTTGTTCCCTGAATTTTTCTGCCCTTAAAAATTCGACGACCTCCGCCGGGTATTTGAACCCGCGTACTACGAGTCATGAGGTGGGAACGTTACCTCTAGACTACGGAGGCCGCTTATATAATAATTAAATATAATAAAGCAAAAACAGTTCAACCCCCACACAGAAAACAGTATAGTTCTGAACAATGATATTTAAACTTTCTTTTACCTTGTGTTTGGCTCTGACAAGATGATTGATAATGTGTGACCCTGACGTATTTCCCCGACCATTGCAGAACCATTTTTTACACACATTACACATGACAACACAACTTGGATCATGTATTCCACAATATTTGCAAGCATATTCTGGCAAATCCTGTGAACAATAGATATTCCAATATATATATATGCATACAATAACACAAAACTGAAAATACAATTGAATTACATATGAGGAAGTTATAAAAGGTAAAGTTGTCTCTGTGCTCAACGAATTAAGCACTATGCCATGAAGGCATATGGGGGAACGGATGTATAGATCCACATGTTCTTGACCTTGGGATTAGCTGGAGGTGAGTGGTAAGCTTCACGCCACGGCCGTTTTACCCCCGGAGAAAGAGCCCCCAGTACCGATTGGATAGGAGGTTGAGTGGACCCCAGAGCTGGTCTAGATGACTTGGAGAAGAGAATATTCTTGACCATACCAGGACTCGAACTCCGACCCCTCAGTCATTGAGCCTGTAGCCAGTCGCTATACCGGCTACGCTACCCCGGCTCATGAGAACGTTATAATGCACTTAATTCCTGTGTCATTACATTTGTTGTGAAGGTCTTGCAAGAAGTTTAGATCTGATAACACAGCTTTTTAACACATAAAGAATGCACCAACCTGAATGTTATCAGTAACAGCTATTTTGTAAAAAAAAATGAAACAAAAAGCAAATGACTTGGCACTGTCAGGTTAACTAAACAAAAACTTTAATTAAGCCTTTGATGATGAATATACATATATAGAAAAATGCATCCTTTTGTTTGTGACCTTATTAATGTCTGTTCGTGCAGTAAGACACGCTGGGTGTGTTCCACTTTTCTTTCATAAGAAAATCAACCACTACTGCATGATCCAACTGGAGATACTGTCTATGCTCAAAAATATTAACAGCAAAACCACCATACTTACAATACAACAGCTGCTGCGAGTGGTGAAAGACACACATTTCACAATGACATAACAAATCCTGTAACACACCCTCAAGTTCTTTTCCATGACTTTTAGACTATTGTTTCAGATATTAGTCTGTAGAGACTCCAAAGTGTGTGGTTTGTTTCCACAAACTTTTCATTCCCAAGATTCCCCACAGGTAAAAATTATACGCTGAAATCTGGTGAACTTAAGGGCCATAGTCATCTAGTGGCTTGTTCATTAAATTGCCAGTAGCACTGGTACTGGATTTTCTGCAGTGTGTGCTGGTGCACTATACTGTTCAGAATATGTAAAACTCTTTTGTATTGGTTAGTTCTTTAAAAAAAAAGGGCATCAGTATTTTCTTCACATACCATACTGCAGGCATGTTCAACTTCAAACAGGCTGTGATCGACTTTTTAGTGTCAAAACTGCCAATGATCTATCAGCCCTCCTATCGTCGTACCTCGCTTTAAGCAAAAATATTGGTAAAAATAACACAACACATGATGTCTGTTGTAAAAGCAACCAGTAACTGGGCTGTGTCTCTGATGTCTGTAGCTTCATCCAGTTGGAGGGAAAAAGCAACACAACTGGAAACATCTTTCAACAACTGTTCATGTATGTTTCCACACTTCATTTCTATTCACCACACAGTGGTGTTTCTTGATAATTGAAGATCTTGAATAGTAGCTATGATCTCTTTCTTATTTTTAAATCCTTCAAAAAGATTATCAGCTCTTTCAAGAAAACACTCTTTTACAAATTCCCCTTCAGTGAAAGGTTTGCATTTTTTAATGACCAGATTGCTGACCTTGAAGGATGAATTGGTTTCACTGTTACAAAATGACCTTGGTTGTGCCATCAACTGTTGTTGAGCACCTAATTTCGATTTAAGTTCTTTGAGCTTAAGTTTACGAATTTCACTTTTGGGTGGAAAATCAGCATCATACTTATTGCTATGTAGAGAATTATAATGATGTTCCAGATTACCCTTTTTGGCAAGGATACTGAGGCGTTACATTTTCCACAATAGTGAGGTAGCTGCTTTATCTGGCACACGCACGCACACACACGCACACGCACACACACACACACACACACACACACAGACGCTTTCGATATTAATAATATAACATGGGCAGAGCACTTACTGTCCCTTTGATTACACTGTGCTCATCCCCAAACTCTATATTTGTTTAATGCACAGCAAACAACAAATCTCCACTAACAGCTAATATAATAACTTGTTAGTTCAATGCACGGGGATTCACAGTTGACTGGAGGGAGGGAACAAAGTGAATCACACTTTCCATCATTCTTGCATCAGAACAAATGCGGCTGACGAGGACTGATGAAATAAAAAGTTCAAGTGATAAGGATAGAGTACGGACTTCCCCACAGTTCACTTAATACAAGTGTAAAGCAATTTTCATGTAAGCTACATAGGGGCGTGGGGGAGAAAAGAGGAATGACTAATACGCATTTGCCCTTCAAAATCTGAATATAATCATATTATATTACAAGTGAATTTACATGCCTTTCATGTATAATTTCCTTATAGGCCTGTAAGATCGACCAAAAATCGTCCCACGATCGGAGCGTTGGACATGCCTGCCATACTGAATTTACTGTGTCATTAAAGAATAGGGAGCCTATTCTCACAGCACTGACACACTATACACCGATGTTTTTTCCATGTAATGGGGTCTGGCAGATAATGTGGAATTTTAGTTCTGCAGTGGTGTGTGCTTTGTGAGTTTATGTAACCATCATATGAAACCAGGTTTCAACCATCATAAAAAGAAATTGTGGGTCAACTACACCATCACGGCTATTTCCAAAAAGCCAGATACAAAAGTTGAGCCTCAAAACTGGATCTGGTGCTTGAAGCAGCTGCACCACAATTACTTTTTAGACAAAACTTCAAGATTTTTACAGCTCTCAAATCAGACTCTTCAGAGAGACCAGTTTCTTGGGACAAATGATGAAGTGATTATGTAGCGTCCATCTGGGTCTTGTGTGGATATGGATATGGCCTAAAAGCACACTTTGTAGATGTCTCTCCCTATTAGCATGTGACCGGGTTTCATGCCACTTCTAATACAGCTTTAATACATGTGCTTTTCCTGAATAAAAGTAGAATGTTTGATGATTTGTTCATTTTTTGTTGTTCTTTAATTTTTTCACTTTTCTTTTGATGGCGAGGCTTGTCTGGAGAATGCTGTTGAGATTTACGAACACATCTGTTAGAAATTCTTTCTTCTAACATAATTCTCAACAAGGAACACACAATGTTCAGTTGCTACTGAAATGTATACACACACAACTATTAACATTTTTTTTCTAATTCTTAAAAAGAGACACATTGGTTAATAGGCTTATCTTGTCACGATTCAAAACAAAGCAATAAATGAGCACAGATGACTGATCACAATAACAATGTTCAGTGATTGATGGAAATCAACTGTGCACTTAATATAAGAGCAGCTCCATAGCAGTAGACTCTTTTTATGTGAATGCATCACTGCAAACTGGCTGGTGACCAGCTAAATGATTGAATAAAGTATCAAAACCTTCAGCAGAACCTATTGGTACATTTAGAAAATAAAGAACCGTAGAGTGCAAAGAGCACATATATGAAGGCAAATCAAAAAGACTTAACCTCTATTTTTTTCAGATAAAATATTAGTGTGATTGAGAAACTGGGTTATACATTCGATGCAACAGGGTATGCTTGGACTGGCCCAGCATTAACTCTCGGCTGCTCCACTGTCAGTCGGCGAAGATGGCTGGTGTGCTCAACACGTCCACGTTGTATGAGCAGCAAAGTGTTGTTTTCTATGGAGCAAGGGATGAACGCCCATTGAGATTACCGTCTGACAGTTACGATCTTATTTTTGTGGGGCACCCGGACGAGAGGACGGGTCTGTCTTTTGTGTATGCTGCTGGCCCTTGCCAGCGCTGTCTTTCTTGGCTCCAAGCCCCTTGGGACTCGCGACCATATTTTACTGTCTCAGATTTGAGACTTCCCGTTTCGTCGCCTCCAAGATTCGCAGTGTCACGGTGGAGGTATTCCACTCAGCCTCAAAATGGGGGTACTGAATCAACAGTCAGAGTCAGAGTCAAAGTTACTTTACGACTGGCGGTTTACCGCCAATCAGTTTGTCTTGGTGTCAAGTCCCTTGAGGCCTACAACCAGAGTTATTTTTTTCCAACTGAACTCTTGCGGTAATAGTCCTTATGTAACATTCTCTCTGATGAGAAGATGGGTCTGTCTCTTATGAATACACTCGACCTTTCATCAAGTGTATACATATTTCGCACATATTATGTTATTGAAAACTCTTCCTTTTGCTTTACACACAAGTCCTCTGTCAGTACAGGCTTTACAGCTGAATCAACACTGACGAGTACTCTCATTATGTAGCTTCCACCGTGACCACACAGAAAACGTTTTTACTGATTGCCTAGCAACAGTCGCTGAATGGACTCCCCTGCTGCGTGACGTCACAGCCTAGCAGGGAGGGGAGTTTACCGAGCGTTGTTACGCAATGAACATTCATTGCTATGGATATTCCTACACAACAGTCTCAACAATTTCCTCTGTTTCGTTGCTCAGTGATGGACGACACATAACATGCCACAATACGATGGCCATTCTTGTATTATTTGAGCCTTCAAGTAACTTACTTCACATTTACTGGGTGAAACTTATATAAAATGGAACAGATGGCATGACGATGGTTTGCGTTCGTAAACTTCAGAAGTTGGAAGATGACTAACTTTGGTAAATGAGCTTTCCAAAGTAGTGAGCATCTTTGAGTACCAAACTCCCAAGAAGAAGAAGAAGCTTCTCCCTGAAACAGGCCTTATTGGTCCAGTTCAGAATTTCGGAGTCCATCAGAAATTTACATTTCCAAATAATATAGATTTGCTGCATGATTCTAGCCCTTAAAGTCTCAAAGGCACGTTTGACAGCTTGGTTTGGGTTCTTGGCTATCCTACTTTTAGTTTATATCTTGCACTAGCTGTCAAATCTCAGATTATCAAAGACATGCCAATGCATGTAAAACAGTTAAAATTACAGAAAATGTGGCAGCTCCTACGCCCTGTCCACACAGCAAGAATGAGCTTATGTTACTTTCTGAATGTAAACATTTGACTGTTTAACCCTTACTTATAACTTACAGCTTGCATTTAATTGCTCTTAGTTAACCTAATTTATAGCAACCTTAATTCTAGTGAAGGGTCACAAGTGTGCTGTGCTCGATCCAAATGAAGACTGCCAACTTAATTCGGACGAAGTCCAGGTCCTTGTGACCAGTACTTCATGAAACAACAGCCTTACAAGAGTGACTCCTTACCTGATGACAATGATTAACCTCAAAGTTTCATTCCCCTAAGTCTACGGTAAAACTAATGCTGGGGTGACAGTACTTGAAATATGCAATCAGGTTTCCTTTTTTGAGACTTGTGAGTACTGTCTTCTGGAATGTTACAGTGTGTAATGCGGTAGAAATTTACTGATGTTTCAGGGAAACTTACGCCTCCATCTTCAGGGTTTAAGAGTACAGTAAGCAAGCAGAGTGTTTCTTGCTTTACTCTTCAACCATGAAGATGGTGACATAAGCTCTTATGAAAAATCAGTATACTTCTATCACATTACGTAACATCCCACAAGACAGTACTCTCAAAGTTTTCTCTTATCTGGGTACAACAATGGACATTTAAGATGTTCAGTAAATGCTGTGGTATCCTGACAGCATACAATTTATGACAGTGCAGTAAAATCCTCATCACAAAAGTGGATGTAGTGTTACAAAGAAAAAAAAAATAGGAAACTGATTTTGGTTGTGTCTTCAAGCTCAGAATACCAAGAACTGTTACCCAAAATATTTTACATAAATTACTGAAGATTCATGTTTATAAAATATAACAAGAACATAAAAGTAAACCAGCTCATCCTCCACATGAAAGGATGCATATACACAAAATTATTCACAAGTCTGCTTTCTTGAATCAGATTGTTTTTCTGATTAAGCCACCTTCCATACAAACTGTGTTGTAAATTATCAAAAGTGAAGAATCTGGGGCTCAGAAGTTCTCATACTACAATGCAAAAAGTGTGAAATACAAGGGCTATTTGGAAAGTAACATCCAGTGAGCTGTTAACAAAACAAGCAATGAGAAAAAAAATATTATATACGAAAAATACATACTTAAGCTACTTCTCAATTTAGTCATTGACAGAACTGGGGCACTTGTCATATTGGGGAATAAGTTTTTGTATGTCTGTGTCAAAGAAGTATGCCATCTGTGGGCTCAGCCATGTTTTGAAACCTTCCATCAACTCTTCATCACTGGTGAAGCGCTGTGATCCCAACCAGTTTTTTAGGTAGGTAAACAGGTGGTAGTACCTCAGAGCAAGAGCAGGTCTGTAAGAAGGGTGGTCAAACAACTCCAGGTTGAAATGCTCCACTGGTGCTCGAACGTGAGCAGCTGTATGCGGATGTGCACCATCATGGAGGAGCACGGCATTGGATGTCAGCCTTCCAAGTCTTTTGTTCTGAATGGCCGTATGCAGCTCTTTTTAGGCTTTCACAATACATTTCTGACATTTTGGTCTCTTGTTGCATGAATTCCACCATCAGCATTCCCTTTCTATCTCAGAAAACAGTTAAAATCAGCTTTCTGGCAGGCAGACAATGTCTATTTAAACCTTTTCAGCTTGTCTGGTGAATGTGTGTGCACGAACTGTTTTTACTGCTCTTTGGTTTCAACATTCATGAATGAAACCCAGGTTTCATCACGTATTGTATGATGTGATCGCCATCTTTGTGGCACTGCTCTAAAAACATCAAAGCTGAGGCCATTCTCTGCATTTTGTGAGTACCTATGAGCAATTTTGGAACCCATCTTGTGCAAAACTTGTGATAGCCTAGCCTAGCCTGTGATAATTTTGCAGAAAACAGTGCGTGAAATCTGCGGAAATTCACATGGAAGCTATGAAATTGGGAAGTGGTATCTTTCACACATTTTTTGGTCAACACTTTGAACTCACTACATATGGTCATCCACTTCGCTCTTCATCATGAACATTCTACCCTACTGTCTTAAAGTTCCTTCACTCTTTACATTTTGGCCATAAACCACACACAATTCACGATGGAGTTCTGCGGCACTCATGTTCATAGCTTCACATGGAAGCTATGAAATTGTGAAGTGCTATCTTTCACACATTTTTTGGTCAACATTTTGAACTCACTACATATGGTCATCCACTTCGCTCTTCATCATGAACATTCTACCCTACTGTCTTAAAGTTCCTTCACTCTTTACATTTTGGCCATAAACCACACACAATTCACGATGGAGTTCTGCGGCACTCATGTTTTTAGTGTGAAGAAAGCAAATAACAGCATGAATTTCACAGCTGGCACAATTATCTATTGTAGGACACATCATTAGTCACTCTGCAGAGACAATAACTAACATTAGGTGACCAGTTATGTGATGGTTTACAACGCAATGAGTCACATCATGCTACCTCATATACACAAGCTCTCCCTCACTCCTACGTTAGCTGTCTAAAATAAACAGAGGTTAGTTTAAGGTCTTTCATTCTGGTCCGTCACACTAACCATGCATTTCTACTATAAATGCCTCTGATGATGGCTCCGTGGTGAGCCGAAACATGTAAGGCAGGTGCTGACGAGGTGGAAAACTTAAAAAAGTGCCACATTTGACGGAAGGAACTTGATTGTTAAACAGAGGTTACTTTCTGAATAGCCCTTGTACTTCAACATTGAATTTTGTGGCACAGACTAATGTAAAATTGCACTGTTAGGCCCATGGCTGACATGAGGGGGGGGGACTGTAACTTAATGAGGAACTATGTAATTTGTGCTCTTCTTGTATTTCTGGATAACTGAACCAACAAATTTATAAAGGGCTGGTCATACAGTTTGGACAGAAGGAACAAGATGTGCACATGAGCTTTTTATGAGGAAACGTTTAGAAAGCAACAACAGTACTTGGAAAATAAAGCAGACAGGGGATCATATCATTAATATTGGACTTCAGGAAATGGATTTTGCTAAAAGACTGAACTGGTTGGCAACTGGGATCAATGGTGGTAGGTCAAGAATAGTTTTAATGTCTGTATATCTTTACTCTATGCATACTTCAGAAATCTGAAATTATGGCACCAAATAACATTCTCATAAAACACTGTACCCACTAATATCTTTTGATGAATATGTACTGACACAAACTAAACCTAACCTAATTTAAAATGAAAATAAGTGTTGAAATAACTTAATCTGACCTCATTCAATGAATGATGGATGTGAAAACTGAACAAAGTACCCTCACATTAATCATTCTTAGTAATGTTGATGGTAGTCATGTCTGGTATGAAAATCCCCATGATTTTAGTTATTCTATTAACAAAAACTTTGGGTTTGGAATAGATATGCATACACTGTCCTCCATATCTTCACATATCAGTGGAAAATAGTCATCAACTACCTAAAATATGACTTTCAACAAAGAGTCTCAGGAATAAACTGTATATATGCATAAAAGCCATTACAAATGAGGAAACTGTTTTAAGTCCCTTATACAATACCTTAGGTCACAAGGAAGGGTATCAATAAAAAAGAGAATGGTACAAAATAACTGGCGTAATACTCTGATACTAAATTTGTTTGCTACATCGAATATTGTTACCAGTATGCCACAAACATAATCAACACAGTATGACACAATCAGCTTACTATATCACACTATATAAAACAAACAACTGCTCCAAACCTTATTGTAGTAAGCTTCATCATCTTCCTCTTCAAATTGCAACTCTCCAAGGGCTTTTGTTGTAGCTGTTATGTCAGCGTCCAAGCCATTCTCTTCAACCTCACCATTCACCTAGAAATAAACGATAATACTTGTATACTACTGAAAACATCTGACACAAATCGGCATGTAACTCTTCCTGATAAACACCACATGCAATGCCACGACTTTGTTTTACAGTGAGGTTATGTTAACTTAAATTATAAGAAACAACAGAAACCAACGTATCAATTCACACATTACCTGATTTTGTGTAGTTTGACTCTGTACAGCATCTAATTGTGAAATCTGAGTTTGGCTTTGGGAAGGTAGGGTAAAATCTGTGAAATCAAACTCGGATCCTTGAGTATCAGCGCCAATCAAATCTGCTTCTTCCGTGTCCAAGAATGTTAGCGATTGTGAGCTTGGTCCATAAGCATCTACGCTCATTCTGAATTCTTCTTTTCCTCGATCCTTGCAATAAAATATACACTACGTAACAAGTAGCAAAATAATACGAATCACTTCAAATTACAAAGATATCCGGCAAATTACTTCCTTTCCCTTGGTTATCTACAAACCCTGCGCCATGTTTTCTAGTACTTCACATTACGTCAGCACTTGGAATGCTTGAATAGTTGCCGAAATACCCTACACGTGGCGCCTCAGTTCATGATGATTAATTCCTATAGTTTGATTGGAGTAATCGAACTGCAACGAAAGAAATCTAATGAATATCGTTGGGGCGATTGTTTTCACAGATTTTTTAAAATAATAGATTTCCATTGTTTATTTAAATATAACATAGAAAGTACAGAACATTTACACTACATATACATATAAATATGAGTTAATAAACGTCATTGAATTCTTTTTCAGCCATTGCACCACAGATTCCACTAAAAATGTCGGTCTCCCCCATTTAATTTTCTTGGTATTGCCAATTGAATATTTTTCTGAGCCATATTCTGATTCCATTTTTTTGTACGTGCCCGTACAATATTGTTTTGATTTTATACAATTCAAATCGGGTGCTGTAAGGCCCTTTTGTCCCTAATTACGACGTGACTTAGAGCTTTGTCTTTCTTTGTCACCTTTGCCGATCGTCTCCAAACATGCATTTCTTCTTCTAGCACGTTTATTTATCCTCTCCTTGAAATAACATACTTCCAACCATATAATACAATAACATTAAATATTGTCTTGTAAATATTTAGTTTATCGGTCCCACAATACACCGCTCATTGCTGAGGTTGAGTAGGCTCATCGTCCCGAATTCCTAGAGTGTGTTCCGTACTCCTTGCTCTCCGTTCCCAAATATTTGTTATTATCACAGCGTTTTGTACTGATGCTTCCTCCTAGGGAGAGAGTGTGTTCAAGTTTCCCAGTAGGTGCAAATTTTGTTTTTGTTAAACTTAATGTCAGACTCTGTGTTTAATGTTTTTTTTTTCTGCGGGTAGAAGTGACAAGAAGACGAGGAAGAAGACGTAAGAAGATGCTGGATGACCTTGGGGACAGAAGAGGATACTGTCATTTGAAGGAGAAAGCTCTAGATCGCATTAAGTGGAGGAATTGTTTTGAAAGAGACTGTGGACCTGTCGTCTTGACAGATTACTGATGATGATGATGATGCTGATGATGATGTTATTACCAAGTGGTCGTCGGCAGACTAGAGGTTCCAAAGTGTTTAATTTTGTATGGGAGTACTTGCAGGTTCATTCAATCATTCATTAATTGTTGGAGGAGGTGGGTTTCCCCATGCACTTAGACCAGTTATTGGTCCATTGTGCATCCCCCTTTAATTTCTACTGTCTCCATACCCTACCGGTACTGGTGCCCGTTATCAGCCCCTTTCTGCCAGCGAGGTCGGCTCTCTACTGGCAGTGGTATCTGATAATTAGTCCCTTTCTGTCAGCGAGGTCGGTCCTCATCTGGCAGTGGTACCTAATAATTTCCCCATCTACCGGAGGCATTGGAAACTACTTGGGCGGGAAAATTTGCCTAATCTAGCTCAGAGGTCTCCTAGAGACATGAGGTTCTTTTACGTGCCGTAAATCTACGACACGGGACCCCCGGCTTAAAGTCCCTCCAGGAGGACTTGTTCCCTGAATTTTTTCCACGACCTCCGCCGGGTTTTAACCCGCGTACCTTGAGTCATGAGGTGGGAACCTTACCCCTAGACTACGGAGGCCGCTGTGCTTGCAGGTTAGTTCTCGCATACTTTTTCAAATCTAAACTACTTTGGAGGTAAAATTTAGAAAGTGCGGGGGAATATAAGCGTACAGCATCCTTTATGTAAACCGTTAGACATGTCACAATATTAAATGAATTTCCTGCTCACTAATATTTGTCTCAGTTTATTGTGTCACACAATTCATGGAGTATATATACACTAACATACACTTAGTATGTTTACATAGTGGTATCTGCCGATATTCAAAAACAGCTCACACTAGTACTGTAACCATAATGAGTAAGAAAGACTATTGCGACTTTGAGGTACCTGTTAAGAAGCTGGGTTGAGTGAAGTGATTCAAAATTTAATTAGTGATACTTAGAAACCCAAGAGTTTATGCAAGACAAATTTATTAGAAAGTCGACGATAAAGGTCTCCCGAAAACGAAGGAGAATTGATGACCACTACGCCAAGACTTTTAGTATGTGATCGTAGACATGTTTGTTATAATCGTCAGGTTCTAAGACAGCAGTCAGTCAGTGGCTAGATTAGAGGTTGGACGGCAAGGGAATTGGGGCTCACTTTCTGACCGAAATAGATATTTTTCCCTTCTTCACGGGGTCCAGCTTCCAATCCAATGGACACCAGGGGATATTTCGCGTGGTTTAATTAAACGCAAAAACAACTCTACCTTTACCCTCTTTCTAAATAGGATTTTAGGAAATATAACCACATTTGTGACTATACCGGAACGCTTTTTAATATACATGTGTTGAACAACAACATATCCTCATATGTTTGCCGGATCAGGGTTTACTACTCCCTTCCTCTCAGTTTCAAGGAGTTACAAGTCTTCGAGGCAGAGATTTCGAAACTGTTGAATAAAACTGTAGGTTGTGAAGTATTTGATAGGTATATTTGTTTAAAAAAATCTCGGTTTTGTTTTTTCTCCCCTTAAAGTTTACATATAAAATCTCAAGTCTTCGACCAGGTTCGTAAGACTGACGACAGAGTGCTCTTCTGTTAACGAAGTAGACAACATGGCTAGCAACACTGGACTAAACAGTGGCGACACATCCGAAACAATGTGAATTACGAGAGATATGGACAACGATTGCTGGGATGTGGTTCAAAATAAAATTTTCTCCCCTTGGCCGACGGGACACCAAGAAAATTGGCAACCGCTACGCAACCGCAATTTCCAAGGAATTTCGCCGATTTCAAGCAGGCAACTGGTTTCCAGCTTAGGCGGCACACACTGAGAAAACTTATCTTTTATTTCATTTTATTTTATTTTTACTATTAATAGACTTGTAACACACATCAAGAACAAGAAGATTAGACATTTATACGGAGGAATAAATGAATTTAGGAAGAGTCACCAAGGTAGAAGTAATTTGGTAAATGATGACAATTTTACTTTCTTACAGATTTCCACAACATTTTGAATAGGTGAAATAGGTACTTCTCTGTTTTGAATGTACGTAAATAAGTTCAGTAATATTAGGCAGACAGAAATATATAGAGCTGAAATATTAGTACCTGGGACTTGTCCTTTTGTGGTAGAAATTGCTATTGCAAAAAAGTTGAAAAATTATAAATCTGCAGGTACGCGTCAAATTCTGGCGAAACTACATCAAGCTTGAAGTGAAACACTATGTTCTGGGATCCATAACCTCATTAATTCTGTTTGGAATAGGGAAAAATTGCCTGATTAGTGGAAGGAGTCTATTGTTGTACCAGTTCACATGATTGGTGATGAAACTGACTGTAGTAATTATCGTGGGATATCACTACCATCAACTTCAGTCAAAATTTTATCCAATACTTTTCTCCCAAGATTAACCCAAAATATGGAAGAGATTATTTCGGATCATCAGCATGGGTTTCGGCGTAACAGATCGATTATTGATCAGATTTTTGCATTCGTCAGACACTGGGAAAAAAATGGGCGTACAATGAGAGAGTGTATCAGCTAATCATAGACTAAAAGAAAGCGTATGATTCACTTAGGGGGGAAGTGTTGTATAATAATCACATAGAATTGCGGGTACCCATAAAACTGGTTAGGCTCTTTGAATTGTGTTTAGATGAAACTTATAATAAAGTCCGTGTAGGTAAAAATTTGTCTGATACGTTTCCTGTTTAGAATGGTCTAAAACAAGGAGATGTTTTATAGCCACTGCTCTTCAACTTCGCTTTAGAATATGCCATTAGGAAGGTCTAAGGAAACGAAGTGGGACTGGACTCAAATGGGACACATCAGCTGCTGGCCTATGCAGATGCTGTGAATCTGTTGGAAGAAAACTTGAACACCATAGAGGAAAGTTCAGGGGCTCTAACTGGTGCAAGAAATGAGCTTGGTCGAGAAGTAAACGCAGAGAAAACTAAGTATATATTGGTGTATGTGTATTGTGACCAGAATGCAGGATAAAATCATAACATAAAGAGAGCTAATATATCGTTTGAAAATGTGGTACAGTTCAAATATTTGGGAAAGACAATAACAAATTGATATTTTATTCAGGAGAAAATCAAGAGCAGATTTTTACAATGCTCGCTAACATTCAGTTCAGAACCTGTCTTCTCATCTTCTGTATAAAAATGCAGAAATTAAAATGTACAAAACTGTAACTTTGTTTCTAGTTTTGTACGGGTGTGAAACATTAAATGAGGAACATAGACTGAAAGTGTTTGAGAACAGGGTGTTGAGAATAATATTTTGGACCAAAGAAAAATGGAATAACAGGAAGTTGGAGAAAATTGCATATTGAAGTGTTTCATAATTTTACTATTCGCCGTGTGGAATTATAATGATCATGTCAAGGAGAATGAAGTGGGAAAGACATATAGCACGAATGGGAGCGAAGAGGAATCCATATAGGGTATTGGCGGGAAAGCCAGAAGGAAGGGGACCAGCAGAAAGATAAAGACACAGGGAGGAGGACAATATATATTAAGATGGAGCTTAGGGAAATAGGATGGAGTCATATGGATTGGATTGATCTGGCTCAGGTTAGAGACCAGTGGCAGGCTCTTGTCAACACGGCAATGAATTTTCGGTTACATAAAATATTGAGAAATTCCTCAGCATCTGTGTGTCTGTTGGTTTATCAAAGACTCCGTTACGTGGAATTAGTTATTATGTTATATAGAATACACAGCGATGATGAACACAATAAAATACATAATTTGATACACTTCATAATTATAGACGTATGTAGAAATTACATAAACACAAAGTTTTCTCTGAGCATACGTGTACCTGTAATTGTAAGCTGCCATCAATATTTTACGTTCCACTATCANTTTCCTTCGATAACTTCTTTTAGAAGGCAGTTTCTGCGTAAAACATGACCAATCCAATTAGCCTTCCGTTTTCTTATTTCATGTAGGATATTCCTCTGCTCACTGACTCTAATTAAC